AGGGGGAGAAGGTCCAAAACACCCACTTTGCAGGATGACTGCAAAGGTTAAGACTCAGGTTGACAAAAACTCAGTTTGACTCAGCAAAACTCAGCTTGGCTAGAGTAGCCAAAACTGGCAAACACTCTGGCGTCGAGGTAGTGGCAGTCAGCAGCTTAAGAGTCCTCCGGTAATGAGGCAACCATCCGCAGGTGTGTGAGAGGGCCGACGAGAACCAGGCGCCACCTGGTGGTGGAGGGAGAAAACACCAAAACACAACCCACGCAAGCTGGATTCCTAACACAGTGTAGGTCGAACATACTAACTGAGCAAACAGGATATTTACATCACAGCGCATCAAAATGATCATCCACTACACCTGTAAATGATTAGTTTAGTTATTTTATTTTAAGTAAAGTTTTTGTTTCTGCTTAATGGAACTTATCCAAGCTGTGTTTGCTGAAAGGTAAAACAAAAACAATTAAAAACGCCGAATTTCTCAAGTGTTTAAGGCCTGTAGATATCCAGGGAGGTTTTATTGTGACCAGTGTTCTGCTTGCATTTTCTCCAAACATGTCAGCGGCTAAATGAACCGTTACATAATGAGCTGTGTCGAAGCAGGGTGGTGCTCTGTGCTTATAGCCCAACATTAAAGGCAGCATCCGTCCTAATTTCTGGCACACATTTAAGTGTGTGGTGTTTCTTTTTTTTTTTACGATCCCACAGATGGTTCTGATTTTTACATCCCACCTTTTCATTGCACGTAGCCAAAGAAAGTAAACTGCACAGTGGGTTTCTACAGCATGACAGGAATTTAGTATGTTGAACAAGCCCATTAAAATGTTGTATTTGTCGCGGTTATTTACTACACGTGTATTTCCAATCAAGTTTCCCTGCGGTTTGGAGGTTTACACTTGGACCTGCTTGTATATAATCTGCTAAAGAGCCATTCATGCATTAAGTTTGTTTGCACACAATTCAAAACGCATCGATCACAGCACGCTGGCATGAACTTGATGGTCTACTTCCAGCCACAGCGGGGAGGAGAGCAGCCTCCATTCAAACTCCAAAGTGAGCTGAATACAGATGCAGCGGAGGATTTGTTTTCATCCTGCGGAGGTGTGGTTGTGTTTATGTATTTTAAATTTGGATCCCGCTCGTCTTTCATCAGCAATTCTGATTCAAGATTAGGCGTGTGGGAAAGTCTGCTTGTTTCTCAGAGGATCTGGAGAGTGGGGTACAAGCTGACAACACCCACAAGACTCTTCAGACTTTAAAATGTGGTTTATCTAAACTGCCGAACTTCACAAAGGAAAGAAATAAAAAAGCTGTTGAAAAGCATCATTTTAAAAGTTTTCTGTGACATTTAGCTCGTCTGTATAAAGATTACAGTAAATCCTTGCATCCAGAAGGCATTCGAGGCAAACATTAAGTTATTTTAACAATGCAGACACTGAAAGGGTTTAACATGTTTACACATTGATAAATATCCTCAGCATTTATCTTTTCATGTACATCTAAAAAGTCTACACTGGAAAGATTAATGTCATATATGTAAATACTGTAAAAATATGTGTAGTCTTGAAACTATCTACTATCTAGTTGAGGGTTTTCTATATAATTTCTCTGAGCATCATATGCTTTGAGTTTGCAGTGGTGTCCATTTTAGAGGATTTGGTAGGAATTTTAAATTATTTTCACTTGTGAATGTGTCTTTTTGTTATATTTCAGAGATGTTTTACAGTCGTTTTATAACCCCCACCCTCACATTAATGTTTAGCAACAGTTACGCTTCTAAAGTCTATTGATTTGATTAAAACACCTGTAGACCGAAATTTAACTTCAAAGGAAAAGTCCGGACATATTCAGAATTCAAACTTCTGAAAGCACTTTAAATATGAAATTATTACATACTTTACAATAAATATTTTTTTAATTTGCATTGCACAGATATCTTTCTCATTTCTCAAAACATTTATTAGAAAATGGAACTGCAGTGATCAGTGTTGGCGTCTAAGGCGGGAACCTCTGCACGAGGTGTCAGTGTCATTTAAACAACTTTCAGTATATCTGGCGTTTGTGCTGTAATGTGGTGAACAGAGCCCTGAAAGGCTGATATGCTTACAAAAACTTCGCAAAGCTGCCTAGATTTCTGCGAAAATTCCATTGGGACCAAGTAGCAATAAATTGGTGACTTAGAAACGACGCTGTCAAGGAACGCTATGGACAGAGGAAACATGCAAGAGGAGGAGAGTTTAGTGTCGGAGGTCGTGGATGAGTCTCCTCCTACAAAAATAATGCAAATTCTTTTTCCTGATAAAGTTACAGAAACTAATCTATTTCAGAATATTCTGGTCAGATTAAGGTAAAAAAAAAAAAGAAGAAAGGCTTAATTTCTAGCTTATTTAAAGTCGTAGGGAAGAGACTATTCCAACGGTTGCATTTCCGAATTCTCCCATGTGGTGCACGAATTTACACGAGTGAATAAAGTGAATGTGATTGGTCGATTATCAAGGGAGCAGGATTGTTGTGGCGGAAGGTTCGCAAGCGTTTTAGTTGTGGCCGGTTTGTCGGAAGCATCTTGCTAACCAGT